AAAGAAGCAGCTAGGAAAGGAAACAGAGGATGGAAGCTAGAGCATTGACATAACTAACGTGAATGTTGGTAAAGGATACAGCCATGAAAACCCCCAGCAAATACTTCATTTTAGCATGGCAACTGCCACAAAAGTTGGACTTGATGTTGAATTTTGCCAAAAGATGGAAACTCACCCTCTCAAGGTATATGATTGTCTGGAATGCTTTCCACTTTGGTAGCAATGCAGCATCAAAAACAGATAAAGAGAGCAAATTCTTTGAATGTTACAATAAAAGAATCTCATTTGTCTATGCTAATGCACAGAATACATTAGTGTAACATGCATGCATCATACCTTATACTTGTCCGAGATATCAGACACTGAAAAGCCTACTTCAAACTCAGCTTCCTCAGTAGGTGTTGACAACTAAGAATAAACACAAAAAATTAAAAGCAATAAGATTTCCATCTCAGGAAAACAGATATTGGAAACTCAAAGAAATATCCTTTACACATGAAAAATAACTTTGGTGAGTAATATTGGAAAAGAGAAGAGGATTAAAAAGAGAAACAAAAATTCCCCTTAAAAAAGAAGCAAGGAGAAAAGCATAACCATCAGCACACCTTTATTTTCTTTGAATTTCTTTCCTCTTCATGGTCTTGGACTGTCCTCTGAACATGGTTAACATGATGATGCAAAATATCAGAGGTAGTTTGTTTTAAACTGATACAAATACAATCACAAAGATGGGGATTAAAAAGTTCACCTTGAAAAGGAGAAGGAAACAATAAAAACCGAGCAGATATATAATGATCCAATTACTTCAGCCATGATAAGAGAAAACTCCTCTGAGGATGTGCCTTTGGGTCATCTTAGTTCCACCTTCATGGACTCTTAATTGTAGGATGCTTGTAGAAAATACCATCAATAAGCAAAAATATATATTAATACAGTCTATACAATTCAGAGTTTAAATAAAAGTTTATGAATAAGACTCTGAATATATAAGCTCATTAATACAATCCTTCAATATATGCAACTCGGAAACATACAATATGTAAATGCTAATGTACATATTTTATTTCAGAGATTCTGATTTCATTAGGAACAAACATTTTATTTCAATCTTAGCAAGCAGAAAAAAAATTTATCTGATTTCTAAGTTTACACAAAACACAATATACCATCCAGCTAAGCAATTAATAAAAAATCATCAATTTATCCAACACTTATTCACCCACTAAGCTTGCATTCGGAATTGCTTTTATTTTAAATTAATATTTTTATTATATTTTTAGTAATTTTACATATTCACACAATTTTTTCAAAGAAATTATCATATGTTAACATAATTTTTGTAATAGAGAATCATATCTTGTACTTCAAACTATGTCAAATGGTAAAACATAACCCATTAAACACAGTGGGCTCCTAAAATCAAGGACCAACTTACTATCTAACTGTTTTTAATTATATAATTTAATACAATATGTATTGCATAACAATTTTTTATTTTGTGATAGAAAAGGTCATTGTCACACTATTACCCAGTAATCCTAATCACAGCATGATACAAGAGTTTAAAATCCATTAGCAAAAATGAAACACACACAAAAGATAAAGATAAAGATAAAAATAAAAATAAAAATAAAAATAAAATTTGCAACTTCTTACCTGTCTATGTATCAGATCAGCCAACAAAAGATTAAACCGACAGCTGCGCTTTATATGTGCCTAACAGTCACTACCCTAATAAGAAAGGTTTAATCTGCACAATGACATCCCTACTATTTCCCATTTGTGAATTTGACCAGAAATCTTGTTCTTGGAAATATCCAATATTAGCAAACTCTCTGCCTTCCTTAGAAAACTTGGGAACTTGTGAATGTTGCAAGAAGAGAATCTTAAAGACAAAAGTTTCAGAAAGGAATGGTTGACACCAGTGCCATTAATGCTCAAAGACAGCAAACTATTATTGGAAAGATCCAGATCCCAAAGGTTTACAAGTTTTGAAAGCATGTTGGCTGTAATGGTGCCACTTAAAATCTTTAGGGACTCCCCAACGAAATGAAGTTTTCCAGGTCAATTGGATGCAATGCCTTCAAGCACTCCTCTGAAATAATAGGTTTCTGAATGACAGGGCCTCTCACTTGTTCAATGTCAAACGGGACACCAAAAGCAGGAAGCGGTGTAAGTATGTCCAAAAAAATTATTACTCCATCCGGAGAGAAGGCTTCCCAAGGCTGCAAAGAAATTTTCACAATAAGATCAGTTGTCTCTGACCTTTCTCCGAAGGATGGGTACTTCTCTGCAAGCTTTCTGTAAACAGCCATATACCTTCCTGCTTGGTGCATCATCCATGCTGGAGGCTGAATTATGGGTTCCCCTCTTGCAGCCTTAACTAACAGTGGGTCTGAATACCATACAAATGACAATAAAGAGAATATGTAACCCTCTTCCAATGATAGGCTTTTTATTGAACTTTTCTTCTAAACAAAACCATCAAAGACCATAAGATCAATAATCTAACCCATCACATTAAGAATAAATTGTGATCCTTCAAAGTCATTGAAGTGATAAACAAATGCAGCTTTTGCAAATTGTGACTCGGAGAAGACATTCAACCTAAAATATTAGGCAATTCGATGTTAGGGTTTGCAAACAATTTTCATTCCTAAACAAGGCACCATTGATGCTTTAAACATTACTAGAAACACAAAAGTTTAACATAAACCAAACCTATTTCAACCTGCAAAACTTGATTCTGGCCTACCTTTCACCCATTTGGATTTTCAATATTTTATGGCACATGGGATGTTAGCCCCTTAGCAGTTAGCATCGCATAGGTTTAACCCCTAAACTTGACTCAAAATCAAAGCTTTGTAATTAGTGGTACAAACTCTGCTAAGCTCTTGTTGGTGGGGTTTTCAATTGTTCAACATAGGATTGCTTGTCTCATGTCAACAATCTTTCGTAACATGACAGAATAATTTCAAGTGACCACAAATTACAGAATTCAGTTTCCCACTAAAGCATTCACTTCCAAATTAAATCCCTTCTACATGTATCATCATTGCCAAACTATACAACACAATTCACCAAGCACCAAATAGGAGACTCACTCTCGGTCTTTTCCTCACTAGGTTCCTTTAATGAGTCAAAGAAATCAAATGACTCTTTAATTTGAGAACTAAAAAATTACAGCAACCACATAAACGACAAACAAAATCGACCAAAACCAGAAAGAAGAAACAAAAAACACCCTATTATCAGATTCATTTAACAAAACGCAATTACTTAAACTAAACAAAAAATGGAAGAAAAAATCTTCATGAGATTAATTCGTAAACATTACCAGGAGAAGATGAAGAAGAGCAGGATACAGAAAATTTCTTGCAATTAAAGCTCGCTCTTTTAGGAAACAGCACAAAAGCTCCATTGAAGCTACCATTATTAGAGTACAAATGAAGATTCAAGCTCCGGGATTTGAGTCTTAAGAAACTGCCTGCACGGAGTAAAACAACTGGTTATATAAAGTGCGAATTGGAGCTCAATGAGAAGAAATTTTCCAACGAAAGAATCGAAATTTGTCGGTAAAAAATTGTGGGTATTTTGGAAACTAATGAAAAACTTACCTGGTTGGCGACGATAAGCTCATTTTGTGAAGAGATTTTGAGGGAGAGAGATGAAGTTCGCGCTCTGCATGTTCACTGCTCTTGAGCAAACGGCGGTTTGACTCAAGCTGGTAAGCTCAAGTGAAGGCTGTGATGTCGCCACGTGTGATCCCTAGATAAAACGCTTAACCAGATCAGGTGCCCCTAATTGAAATTTTGATTAAATTTTTTTTTTTTTAGGCAACGATTAAATCTGGTTAAATTTTTTTCGGCCATCAATTTGGC